TGTTTAAATTGTCAATAAACGATAAACTGTTAATAATATGATTAATAAAAATATTCAACAAAGATTACCTCTTTTATAAATTCTTCACGATAAATATTTGAACCATGGAGTAGCTTAAGAGCAACACTATCACTTACATTTAGAATTTTATCACACCACCAAGCGTAATATACAGTTGCAAATCCACCTTTACCTATCTCTCTAATATTTGTAAATTCATCGTATGGAATCCATGACAATTGATATTTATTTTCGGTCAATACTTTTTTCAAATCATCTTCAATTTCCGAATTTTCATATATGCATTCAGTTTTAACTAATAATTAAATACAAGAATTATATTAAATATAATTACAATTGGTAATAAAATTAACTTTGACGGATAATACCTGACATTGGACCATTTTCTCTAATTCATGATTAATTTATTAAATAAATCGAATAATAGCGTTAGTAGTTATTTAGGATTGTAGTTTAATAACAACGCTAGACGTAAGATCAATTTTTCCGTTCATATAAATATCACCCAAATTGGCCAGTGAAAAATCATCAGATGCAATATATTATCTCAAAATATAGATGTGTCGAAATTTAAACCAGAAAGTTTCAACAATATCATTTAATGATTGATATTTCAACATCCATCTATATCTCAAAATTAACTATCCTTCATTCTTTAATAAAAATTCTTTTTTATGTAATTTTCTACTCATAAACTTACTCTAACTCAATAATACATAAACCGAAGTCATCACATGGTTGAAAAATTTATCTTACTCCATTATTTAACTTTGTGCATTGGCGCTAGCGTTGTAAAATAAACCCCAAAGATCAGGAATAATATGAAATTGAAATAATTACAGTTATTCAATCAAAATCGCATATAGTTCAAAATTTCATTTATGAAAGCACTCTTATGTTCTATTGTAAAAAAGAACCTTTTTTTATAAAATTTTAAATCAAGAACTATTGTTCTGCCTGCTTTAATCTAATTCCATGTTTAAACTGATCTCGGAAGTTTTTTTGTTAAATATGCATGTACAAATATTAAAATTTACCTTTGAAACCTTTGATACATTTGATAACAATATTCAGCTTTTTGTAAATCTCTTTTTGTTCCAAATCCATTTCGATAGCAGTCAGCGATGCTCACCATTGCACTGTTGCACCCCATTTCTACTACTTTTTGATAGTAAATGAATGCCTTAGATTCATCCTTTTCAATACCAATTCCATTTTCATAACAATATGCAAGATTGTTTATTCCTCTAATGTTCCCCATCTCTGCAGATTTTTGATAATAAATAAATGCCTTAGATTCATCCTTTTCAACTCCAACACCATAGCAATAACAGAATCCAACACCAAACATTCCATTCGAGTCACCCATGTCAGCAGATTTATTATAATAAATGAATGCCTTTTTTTCGTCCTTCTTAACCCATATACCATAAAAATAACAATTTGCAATGAGAACGAATAGAGCCACGTGAATGGATTGATTTTCTAAACAGTAGTTGAAAATTTGAACTGGATTTTGATTTTTTTTTGCTAGAAATTGTTCTAGTTTAGCAATACTTAAAGAGAACTTTTTTGATCGTTCTTTAATATACAGATCACACATTTCTTTAACAATATCATTAAGAAATTTAGTTGACCTGTTATCTTCTAAATGCAGTTGGGTAAAATCATTGGGTATTTGAGTAACATCTGGAGAACTTTCGATTTTTTCAGGCAGTTTTAAAAATTGGTTATTGTAAGGCATTTTTGGCGCAAAAAAAAAGCATTAAATTATGAAAGGGCAAAACTTGCTTAAATTATTTTTTTTATTGCAGATTCATATTTCATATTAATACAATTTTGGATAGCGCTCGATATTAATCGCGTTGGAAGTGATTACAAGAGTTTATCCTGTGTATTGATTGCTTATTTTACATGTGATATTTTGATAAATTAATGGTCACAGGCAGAAAATCGGATCGCTAACAAAATTTTGCAGTCATATGGCATTGACGAAATTTTTTAAGTTATCGTAGGGTCTATATTTGAATGAAATTTTAAGAGTTCTAGTGTTCTAGTAGCAAACTTTTTCTCAAGGAAAACTTTTTGTTAATGAGCAGGCGATTTTTGAACGTTTGTTTTGAACTTTCCTGATCGTGTTACGTTACACCAAATCCTGATTAACAATACCAGTGACACGAGCGAACCGGCGAGTCAGTCGCTTGAAGATGGATACGTCGTGTAACCTACGAACGGCTTAGTCGATAGAGGCGGTTAGATTTGGCGAGTGGTGTGTTTAGCGAAGGCCAGGGTATTATGAGGGTCAAACTTCATTACAAGCACGAACTCTGCATCCTTTCTTCAGAGGGCTCGAAGTCTTTATTATATGCTTTCTTTTTCATAGTACGCATTATACATCTTATCCGTGCTATATTACTTATGCTTATTATACCTTTTATAATGTCTATACTAATTATACCTTTTATCCCACCGATTTCCCTTATAACACCGATATCCCTTAAAGACCCGATACGACGTTTACAACTTATACGACGTATAATACCGGGAAACCCATCTTAGGTAAAAGATACAGGGGAGAACGTCCCAAATATGGAAATGATTCCGATATGAGTACACAAATGCATCAACCAATTATGCTATAAGTTTACGCAAGTCACCTGCATGTTAGCCAATCAGGTTACAAGAAAAAAGTTGTGTGATTAAAAGGGATTAAATAGATATTTTGTAAAGCGAAGTAAAAGTATCAATTTATCCGTTATAATTTTTGCTTTTTTAAAAAAGTTAAGCTACCCGAGCTTTTTAAAAAAAGTATTGTAAAACGTATAAAAAATTTTGCTTATCAATTGTGTAACAATCGGGAGACTCGGATAATAATTCCCAAATTTGGGACGTTCTCACCTGTAGGTAAAAGATCGACATACCCGAGAGAGCGTGACTTAGGGTCATACGGCGAAGATCCCACGACAAAATCATCATTCGTGGATCATGTGTTTCGGGTTTAACATTTCTCTTCCACTTAGTATATGCATATCACACATATAATCACAATGAACTTGACAGTGAAGTTTAAGTGGGGAGTTCTTAGTACTTTAGAAATCTTTAAGGAATGATTTTGGTCAGGATCACAGAGTTAAGAAGTTAAGACTATCTAGCGTGATTCCGGAATCGGCGAGTCTGTCGCTACTCTAATCCAACTCTCGCGTAACCTACGGCGGCTAAGTCGAAATAGG